AAGCATGTTAATCTCTCAAGTTGGAGTTAGTAATACGTATTTATAAAATTTCATTAAAATCGGTAGAACGGTTTTAGAGATCAGCATGAACGAATATCGTAATAGGATATTTTTATATATTAAATATAAAATCGCAGATTTTGTGCTCTTTTTTTTATCTTATTATATTATATATATATATATATATATATATATATATATATATATATATATATATATATATATATATATATATATATATATATATATAGAAGTTGTAGGCAGCGATATGTAATAATTTGTTCCGGTTCAGGAGGACCGTTGAACGCGTTCTGAAGCGTGAAATACGGCCGAGGGCGGGCCTTGAAAATTGACAAGCTTAACTTCTGACTTTTGTGGGATTAAAATGATTTACATAAAGCCCGAGAAAGGTTGGATATAAGTTTACAATCATATACCACTAGATGACAAGATGGAGTGTCTCAATAAAAACCCTTTGGCAAAAACAGCTCAAGATCTTTTATTTTTGTGAGTATGAAAAGGGTTACCAGAATGTGTAGTCATTATTCAGTAAGCGGCAGTAATATATATTGTAAGGTATATATATAATTATAAGTATATTTGAAATAACAGGGTAGACAGAGCATGTTTCATTTTTTTTAATGGATGAAAATGGAATGTTCACCCCGCCTGTGCTATCGGTATACACCGACAGGGCACCAGTGGAAGAGTGGTAAATGAGAATGAATGTAGGTCAGTTGGCCCATCACGATGAATTCGACAAGAGTTAACCATGATGGTTTCCAGGGGGAACCGCGTGGAGGTCGACCTGAGAGAGTATATTGCTAGCAATGGGCCTATTAGTGCTCATTACTAGCAATCCCTTTCCCCCTTACATAATGTTTCATTAGAGTATTTGTTTTACTACTATATGACAGTGGATTTTGTATTTATTTATATATTATTTATTGCATATGTAAATAAAGATACTGACATTAGTTTAACTACATACTCGTATTAGTGAGGCTGGGTTTAATTTGAAAGAGATTTCGTTCAGCCAACCAAATGCAGTGTGAGAGAAAATGATTAGCGGGTAATCTAGTGCAGAAAAATATAAGAAAAACCTAAAAAAGAAGAAGGAGAGAATTTGGCTGTATTTTTTGTTTGTTACCTTATAACTCAATTAGTTGTATACCGATTTGGAACACTAACTCTTATCTGAAAGGATTATACTTACAGATTGGTTGATTGATATACTTACAGAAATTTTATTAAAATCGGTTCAGTAGTTAATTTTTAATATCAAAATAACTGAGTTTTGTCACATTTGAAGTCGACTTTTTGTGGAACACAGTCTTTTTTTATTTGGGCTGTTTTTATTATAAATGCTCCATCTTGAGGTGTAGAATCTAGTACAAGTATTATACCAGGTCATTTATATAATATTCCCTACGTGTTCTAAGAATACCGGGCCCTAAATAATTCGTTACATCCGACTATTCTATTAATCCCACTAATTTTATGAATGTGATAGGTTGTAAACATGTTTTTGATGTTTCTTTGTTTATAATTTTACCAAAAGGGAGACTTTGTACAAAAGTCGTTTGCTTGGGCACCTCTGTTCCATTCGTGTTTCTACTGTTAAGCAGTTGTGTTTGTATGAGTTCCATGCTATTATCATACATTAAAAAAATAGTATACCTAGTTTATCACTATTACGTTGCAGCTATATGCCGCAAAATATCCGTTCCATGATGCAGGAATGTTCACTTTTAGCACAGATTAAAACGCCATCCGAAATTCCCTTTGACACCCGACGCTCGCCGATACTAGTGCATTCCGTTTTAGACAAAGACTTTCCATTCTGCTAAATGTACACTACACCTGCCACACTACACTACACTATAACCATAGACACTTGAGACGCGTTTACATCAACCGATATAGAAACTATTTCATTGTTGTAAAATACTTTTTTTTTTCATTTTTTTTTTGTTTTGTGGGTAATGTTGTTTTGTATTTTTTTTGTGTTATAACACAGAGGGCAAACGATGATGTGGCTCAGCTGATGGTAAACGGCTACCGCCGCCCAAAAGGAATTTGCTCTTTTCTTTTTTTTTCTTTTTTTTTTATACAACTTAGAATGGCAAACAAGCTGACGACCCACCTGATGTAAAGTAGTAACCGTCGCCTATAGATATGAACAGTACCTGACATGACAGAGTATACTGTTTCGCCCATAATACCCCCTTGCGTTGTCATTCCTGAGGACTCAGGTGTTATTCCTCCGTATCCAGTAAATTCACGCCATATCCCACCCTTCAAACTGAAACACAGCCATGCAAACACAACTGCTTCACGGTTGAAACACGAATGCGACAGAGGTACCCAAGCAATCAACTTTTGTACAAAGTCTTTTTCTTGAAGGTTATATGACGTATCGGTACGGAAATATTGCTATTCGGATGGTAATCCCACCACCGTTATAGACTGGTGTACCCCTGAGTGATGATAGATGAGAATGAAATTAGGTTTTTTGGTCTATCGTGACAAATTAACCGAGAAGTAACCATGATAGTTTCTAGCGAGACTGCCTTAAAATCGACTTGATTATTTTGTTGTTAAAAGTTTTGTAAGCACACATATTACACACATATATATTTTAACGTAATAAATACCAGTTTAATTACGTGTAATTAGATCAAAAAAGCTCGACTAGTTTCGTGATCAATTCGTGAACCCTAATCATAAGCTGCTGTGACGCGAGCACAAGCATGACTGCGCGCCTCGGCCCGCCGATTTCTAGCAATAAAGCTAACATATGTTAGTTTTATTGCTATAAACAATACATTGCGTCAAACGACCAAAAAATAAACGTAACAAAAAAAGAAAAAGCATTACCCTTTTATCCAGCGGTTGAGTAAAAGCATAATAAATAGCATTCCACTTCCTATTCACCTTGCGATATTATTACGACTCGTAAACAACTGATACAAATGCGTTTAAAGGGGCCATTTAATTTCACCAAAGCGCTCAGCTTTGAAATTTTTTGTAAAAAAACCCTTAACAAAACTCGCGATTTATAAAGCCGTTCATATCCATTAACTCCATTGTGAAGTTATTATTGCAAAGAAAATGTTCAGATGATTGTTAAAATATTCGAAATGGCCGTTTTAGTCGTAAGCAGGCCGTAATGGCGTCGAAACATCGTTAAGATAAAATGGAATTTCTGAAAACTGTCTGCGCCTATTGAGATGAACTTGATGTAGAAATATGACGATTTATTTAATAACTCATTAATTTGTGAAGAAAAAAGAAAAGATAAAATATTCGAATATTTGAAGAAAAAAAAAAACTATATAAGTGCCAGTGACAATTTCGCTGTTTACTTATTGTGTAATTGAATTTTTATTATAAAAGCTAGCAATATTATTAATTATTACAGATTTAAAGGTCGTGACTTATGAGGCGTGTAGGTCTCTGCATAGAATAGGCCACCCCTTCCTTTCCCGTGGGTGTCGTAAGAGGCGACTAACGGAGTGCAAGGGATGGGCAGCAGTGTCACTCTTAAACCATCACCAAAAGCGAAACTGGTTTTCAACCCACATGCTAAGCGTGGCAATTACTGGCAAAACCTCCCTTATAGGGGCTATGTCCAGCAGTGGACGGATCAGAACGGTTGAAACGACAATGAGCCGATGAACTTCGTTACCTACAACGCCATCTGTGGCCGATATTATGGACTGTATATTGATGTATATGATGTAATCAAACAATGGGTTTAAAAAGAAAATAAGTATAATAAAGAAAACTATGAAAGATAGACTACGACAGCAAAGAGCAAAAAGTGACAATTGTAAAAACAAAACTATAAAAATACAATAGAAATAAAATCTTTAAAAATAACTAAGGAGTTCGCAAAATCAATGTTTCGTTTATTTTATCTCTGTCTTTTACTCGTATTCCTGTTTTTGTCTGTTGGCCATGACATACATCTTTACTAAAACCTTGATCCTGAGGGCTTACTGCAACTCTATTTAGTTCATTGTTTTGATTTACTTTTCGTTGTCCATCATTCGTAGAAGATGAATCCGTATTCATAGATGAAACTACATTATTGTTCATTTCAGTACTCTTAGAGAAACATGGTAATGATGAATAACTTTGTTGTGCATTTTGATTTTGGTTGCCAATATTTTGCTGGCGAGGTAAATGACTAAGCTTATTCAAGATTGATGTAGCACATAATGATGGCGGTTCAGATGTTACTGTGGAGGTTACCGGTAGAAAACTATATAAAGCAGGTACTGAACCTGGAAACGATATCTGCGATTGTAGATTTCCTGTTGGACGTGAACGTTGTAAAGTTTGTGACTGTGAAGGGTGTAATGCTGAAGGTGATTTCTGCGGCATCATTAACAATTGCGGAGGCTGAGGTGAGGTAAATATATTATTACAAGACTTTAAACTGTTTTTATCTAATTTCTTCTAAAATTGGCCGTGATGGTTTTTAAGATGAAGGTGTGTATAGGCGTACCCCCCAGAATAGGTCTGGCGCTCACACCAGGTTGTGAGAAAAGATTCGAAAAGACATACTTGAGAATACATATTTTTAATCTTTATAATCTATATCAATCTTTGAAAGGAACGATCAAGACTTTTCATTCATTCATTCATTCACCCATCGTTTGCGTTTTTAAGGCGTCATCCCCCAATTATTGGAATTGAAATTATATTCCTTAGAAATTAATCTTAAAGATGCCAATGACTGTGTTTTGATCGTCCTGACAGATCATATTATCTCTTCCCCCTGATGACCAAAGATTTCCCTTTTATAAACAAACTAAACAAGCCAGAGACAATATCCGTTGTGATTGGCGGTGAGCTTGGGAATGATCAAAGAGCGACGGGTTATTTTAATAATAAATGATCTTTTAAAGCGAGACAAAGCTGGCCTCAAATAATAATACAGCCTCAATTTGCGTGTGGTACAAACTATAAGCAAATAAGGTTTCTTTTTATTCAAATTCATTTAATGCCAGACAACAAGATCTATTTTATTAGCATTTATTCATAATTTAATAAATTATATACCTGAGAGGCATGCAGTTATTTTGTATTTTAGTCATCGTTCTGACAAAATGCCCCATCACAGGTGCATGGGCATCCTCAGCTATCATTTTAAAAATGGTATTGTCACTCTCCCATATTCTTTTCGCTATTGACTCGACTTTCTTACGAATAATAACATGGAAACTATCAATCCATGCTTGTGCGAACATTTCTGAGGCGCTACAGAAGCGGGAAAGTCTCAACAACATTCTAAATATATTATTGTATAGAACACGTAGAGCATACTATCCAATTTAGAATAGGAAGCAAGCCAAAGGCAGGCCTGATAGACAGCGACAACCATCGCCTACGTCTACATGATAATTACAGATTAAATTAATTAAATTTATTTAATTATTTACTTATCTATTTATTCAGGATTACCAACTTTAGTTACAATGATATTTTGATAAAGCTGTTACATTGCAATACAGGTAAATTACAAACATGCATTTAAAAAACTGGTATACAAAAAATATAAATAAAATTTAACAACAGGTAAAGGTTTGTGAGTCCTCAGGAATGGTAAAGTATGGGAGGTATCATGGACGAAACAGTATACTCTGTTATGTCCATGGTACTGCTCATGTCTATAGGTGACGGATACCACTTTCTATCAGGTGAGTCGTCAGTTTGTTTGGCATTCTAAGTTGCATAAAAAAAAGTAATTTAAGAAACAAAAGAAACACTTGACAATCTGAGTTATAAAGATACCAATAAATTTGTCTGCAATTCTACAATTCAAATTAGAAGTCATCTTTATTCAATTAGACTTGTTTACAAGCCCTTTTAAATCGGCATTCTTTATAATTCTAATACTAATACCGATATTTATACAGTAATAATAAATACGTAAAAATTGATTTACTTATTTTTTTTTTACTCTTATAATTTGTATTTCTTTTATACATAATTAAATAATTGATTCTAAATGAAACTTATGTTTTAATCATTAATTTATTTATTTATTTGCTTATTTCTTTATTTAAATGCTTATGTGCATTCACTTTTTATATAGATATCAATCAGATTATAATGAATATGTACAGAGGCAGACTTTTCCTTTGAAGGGATTTCTTCTAGTCTGTCTTGTGAATTCAAAAGGAGAAAGTATCTGTAAGCTTTATATATGAAGCGTAACATATATGTTGCAATGTAGATTGGACTCTATTTTCTGCGCTAAGCCTCTCATTTAGACAATTGTGCGTAATATGTTGCAATGTTTCATCCTTAGTATGTGCAAACTCTGAGACTAGAAGTGTTTCTTATTTCACTTTGATAACAATACAAATGACCGCCACCTCCTCTACCTTGCACCGTTATGATTACCATGAAATGTAAATCATTGAAAATTTGTATTACAAATATTTTACAAAACTAGGTGTATTTTGTCCAAGTCCATATCAATGGGTAATTAAAATAAAATAAAATTATTACCGGAAACCCAATATTTAACATGTCTATAATTGGCGAAACATGTACTTATGCTTTTTATATGTAACTTAGATAAATTATGTTAACCCGCCTGATGGAAAGATCACCGTCGCTTATAGACATGAACAGCATATTATAAATTTTAATATTGTACAGTGAACATAATCAGTTTTAGTAAACCGACTTAAAAAAAAAAGAAGATTCTCAATTCAGTTGTAATTTTTTATGTTTGTTACCTTATAACTCATAAATAGACCCTACAGAAATTTTATCATAATCGGTTCAGTAATTTAGATTTTAAATTAAAATATCTGGTTTTACCACAGTTGAAGTCGGTTTTTTTTTGTACTAGTTATACGGGCGGAGTTGCGGGTACAACTAGTGAATAAAATTACTCAAATATCTGGTAATATCTATATCACATCAAAAAAGACAATCAAATACAAAACCTCTTCCTATTAAAATCTGGTTGAAAATCGCTTAGTCAGCAATACGAATGGGATTTAGTTACGCCGAGAATTCTGTTTAGTGATGTGTCCAGTCAGGCTGACTCGAGTACTAAATCGAATACTTAGTAGTCACTCAAGTAATCGAGTACTCAATGTACACTTGTAAACTTAGATACACAGTATTCGAATACTGTGTGTATTCGAATACAATATTGAAGGACCTTGAATACTCTATCATGTAAATACTGGAATACTACTTGTGTGTTAACATAAGTTTTGTATCTGTTTCAACATTTTATTAAAATTTTCCTTTATTACCAAAGGAAAAATTTATAAACATTTTTATTTATAAAAAGATTTTAATTTCTGAACATTTATTATCTTCATTTAAGTTAACAAATCAGAATTTAATTTAAAAGTACTCGAAACCGATACTCGAATACCCGTATTCGACTATTTGTCCGAGTTCTCATTCGAGTAGGGATTCGATTATTATTTCAACGAATACTAATAAAGACCGATTCGTCACATCACTAATCCTGTTTAACTGAATTTTCATATTGAATACAACTGCTTATTCCATTTTATGCTTTGTTTTGCTATCAGCTACTGAATGAGGAATGAATGGGAGCTTTATTAAATTTCTAAAATCCCTTAGTTACACGATCCTCCTGTTATAGCCTTTTAATAGAAAAGTTAATTACAAGATAGCTCCTTAGCGTTCAAATTACACAAAAGACTGGAAATCCTCGCCAATACTCCGCACCGCGTAAAGAAAACTATAGACACTCTGTAATAAGTATTTTTAAATAATTTTCCGGTGAAAAACAATATGTATGGCAATCGTCTGTGTAAGTACTTCTGTCCCGCCCGTGTTTGCAGTTATTATCGTATTGTTTTGTCGATGTTTATTTATTTATTTAAACTTTAATGCACAGAAAAATTCTTTGTACATTTGGCGGACTTAACACCGGGCGGTGTTCTCTACCAGTCAACCATTGGGCAAACCGAGAAATAGGTAGGCGGTGCATTTTTGAATAAAGAAAAAATAAAGCAATACTTAATATATTCACATAATATAAACATACACATAATGTATTAAATAAAAAGTATATATGTACAATAAATACATTCATAAATAAATGGATAAAATATTACTATATAAAACAGTTAAATGTTCTGGTTTAAAAGATGGCATATGGCTCATTCTTTTTCCTTTTATTCTAAATCCTTTACTGTCCAGGCAGTTCGCCTGTATAACTCACTTGGTGCGCTCAAACTCTCACTAGCTTCAAAACCTCTGTTAAATCCTACTGCCTCTCCCTTTAGTACTATTTTCCTGTGTTCTCTCTTCATTTTCCTTCCTCATTCTCTCCTGTTGTATTTGTGCTATTAAATATGTGTATGTTTATGTATATATTTTTTTTATATATGTATGTTTGTATACATTAGTATCTATAAAATAGTGTGCCACCTACCCTTTGTCTTTTTCTCAATGTCCTCTCCCCAAAGATTGTCTAGAAGAGATTGCTTAGCGATAAGGCCGCCTTTTGTATCGCTTCTCTTTAATATTTTCTGTAATTAATATTTTTTTTACTTGGTGCAATAAAGTGTAAAATAAATAAATAAATATGGCAATGAAATTACAGCGTACGAAAGCATAACATTATTGTTCTGAGGATACCATACATAATTTTATAGAATGTGTTATCTACTTTTAAAATTTTTTTAATAACTAAATAATGTATAAAAATATAATATACAACGGGGTCTTTTACGAATTAACTATTTATTTATTTATACATTATTGTACACACAAATATAATAGTGGTAAACATATGTACTTAAATATAATTAAAATTACACTTGAAACATCTCCAAAATCTAACTGCGGTTGCCAATCAGTAGGTAACTGGCATGGCAACTACTGGCAAAAGCCCCCTTTATGGAGGAAGCTTACGGTCAGCAGTGGACAAGTAAAAGCTGATAATCATATCACAGATGACGACGATGTATTTTCAATATAAGTACGTACATATGTTAGTTTGTATTTAGTTAAGTATATTTATTATTTCTTAGTAGAAACAACTCTTCTTATTGCACGCAAACTGCCCGCTGCTAATTAACCCTCTGACTTCATTTTTTTTCACAATAATAAAACACATCTACAAATAGCAGTACGAGTGTTTAGCCATCTAGCGAGATTCTGAGGAACAACATCAATCTATCTAAACAAAAATCGTGAGATAACAACCTCAATAAATATAAAAAATGCGAGCACGTCGAAATCGTGGGATGCGTACAAATAAACTAGTGGATAGTGCACGCGGAAATCACGGGATGTTACAGAATAAAGCTCGCATGTTGTACATCTTTATCCAAAATAAATTATAACAATGTAACTTTTGTGTACAATAATGTATAAATAATAATAAGAATATTCATATATATTTTATCTGTTAACTAACTAAAACGTTAATCTTAGAATACATTGTATTTATCTACCATTAATATGTTTGCACCTATTTAATATTTTGCTTCGAAATATTTGAAATACATTTCTGCAATCAAAACCCGCGCCGTGTGGTCCCGGCGTAGAATAGGCCACCCCTTCCTTTCCCGTAAGTGTTGTAAGAGTCGACTACGATAGGTCGAGGGATGGGCAGCAGCGTCCCTCTTAAAACATCTGTAGAAGCCTAACTGCGGTTGCAAACCCGCCTGCCAAGCGTAGCAACTACTGGCAAAACTCCCCTTATGGGGAAGACTGTGTTCAACAGTGGACAGTTAACGGTTCAGCCGTTAACTGTCCACTGTTGAACACAGCCTTAAAAAATCAAAATCCAAATAATAAATTAGAACAAAATGTTTTTTGATCTTCAATACGATGGTGCTCCATTTTTAGTACATAACAGCAAAGAAAGAATACGATGACCGAACCACCTGAAAGTGAAGCAATGCACACGTCAGTAAATAGGCACAAGTTGATATTCCAAAACATAAATAACAACATATCGATGATGGGGAGAAAGGGATTGTTAGCAATGGAGTTTGATAGCCCCATTGCTAGCAATATGCCTTATTAGCCCTGGCAGCCCTGCCCTGGAAGCCATCGTGATCAATTCTTGTTGAATTCGTCACTATGGGCTGACTTTTTTTTTGTTTTTTTTTTTTTTTTTCTGTGGGGAAATGCATCATGCAGACCCAAACGCCCCGGGGGAGGCGTATGGGTACTGCCGGACTCCTACCGGCTAAAACCACCACGGCATCTCTCGCCGCACCATAACGTTGGGGACCCAGGGTCCCTTTCGTAGTCCACCGAGTCCCAATGGCGTTGGCCCCGGCTTGTGGGCCCCGACTCCTATCTACCGCCACCTATCGGAGCAATAAAAATTATCCATTCCGAACAATTAACATATTTTGGTCGTGCACGAAGTCGTAATTAAATAAATTTTATTTATAACCAACTTCAAAAAAGGAGAAGGTTCTCGATTCGGTGTATTTTCTTTTTTATGTTTTCTACTTCATAACTCCGTCATTCATCAAAAAAAGAATGTTCCAAATCGGTTCATACAATTTGGAAAATTCTTTTTTATATAAAGTAATACATGTACATTCACATTAGTCCCGTGGAAATTTTATCAAAATCGGTTCAGGAGTTTACTTTTAATCAAAATGACAGGTTGAAATCTGTGTTCCTTTCTAAAAGAAATTTTAATTATGTTAGTCTTAATATATAAAAATTCAGCGTCACAATTAGTGGCGTAGCTAGGTAACCAGGCCCTGGGGCAAAATATAAATCAGCCAAAGAATACAGGATAAGTTCCCCGCAAGTTTTATACAGAGATGTTCGAGACTTGTTTGGAATTCACCTGTTATTTTTCAAATTTCTAAGTTAACGCAAGAAAAATCGTTCAGTTACCCATGTCTGCTGATCTCCGAAACCAGCCAACGGGCATTTTAATGAAATTTTATAAACGAGTATTGTTTGCTCCAACTTAAAAGATAGTTTTTTTTTATAATTTATAATCTATTTATAATATTAACGATATATTTAATAATAATATTCAATTCAATTTAATATGTTTTTTTGTATAATTATGCATAGTTTCAGACACAATGTACATTGCTGTTTGAATAAATGACTAATGACTAATCTCTTACCGATATGAAGTTAGCGTACGACAGTTTGATTAAGCCTAAACCAGTCATATAGACAGGCACCTGACTCCTCTGGATGGCTATCACGGCTAACGCGCGTATGTCACGGTTGTTGGACATCTCCCAACCGCAATGAAATATAGACGTTGACAGCTCGTACGCCTGCAATTAATTTAAACAAAACTCAATGCTTATGATGACCAGTATTAACAGAAGCGGAAGGAAGAGCGATTGAGGTTCAAAGGAGCATAAATAAAAATGTGCGGGGAAAATATAAAATAAAATTCTATTTAAATACTAAATATATTTGTATTTAAATATAATTAATTCAATCATAAGAAGTGTACAAAATATTATACAACATACAGTATTTCTGTAAGTTTCTAGAAAATGTAAGTATTTATATAGAAAAATACAATAATGCTTCGCAATCCGCTTTCATTGAAGTACGCTGGCAATTTAATGAAAGATACTGTGTTTCCTGGAAACTCACAGAAACCTAGATAGATTGTAAGTACTTAGAACTATTATGTTCAATGAATGAACGAATGAACATTTATTTGCATACAGTTCTTCTCAGCTGAAATCGCATTCTGAACTGGGCGGTAGATTCATAAAAAAATTTATTAAATAAAACTGCCCGTGATTAAGTTTACTTAAATAAAAAAATATTAATTAATTAAAGTATACTATATTTATGTTTTATTTGGTACTAGCGGCCCGCCCCGGCTTCGCACGGGTGCACATTACATCGCATCACATTAGAAACCTCTAAAATTATCAGTGCTCCTCTATTGTATTATGCATATATTTTACATACAAAACTTCCTCTTGAATCACTAAAAAAAACTGCATCTAAATCCGTTGCGTACTTTTAAAGATCTAAGCATACATAGGGGCAGACAGACGGGAAACGACTTTGTTTTATACTTTGTAGTTATAATGATTTATTTGTTAATTACAAATACATAATTTCAAGTCTTTAAGTTATCACTGGTGTTTTCAAATTTATTTTTCGATAACTAGAGACTGATGTAATATTTTTTGGATGACAATTTTAAATCGCTAATATACTATAAGATATTCACTTATATTACTTTCAGAAACAAAAGTTTATATTAAAAAAAAAATTGCAGGGTCAGTACTGTCTAAATCTCACAGCATTTTCTCTACAACACAGAACCAAAATTATTAATCGTACAAACGCAGTGAATGAATGAATGAATGAATGAAAACTTATTTCAATAATCCACAACACTTACATATAAAAAAGAAAAATAATGTTTTTATCTGACAGCTTTTAATTGTGACCTTCTTGTATAAATTTACTAAATATTTATGTTACTAATTTATTTATTTATATACTTATATATTTTTTATCCATAGGTCGCAGGTTCATATCCGGCTCGAAGGACCAAATGAACAAAAATAAAGTCTAATCTTGATTGTGTTTATTAAATTTGTACAAGAACGTCACAATTAAAAGCTGTCAGATGAAAACGTTATTTTTCTATTTTGTATAAATAACCAATAAAGAGTTTGTGTAACAGTTATTAATTGAACACTCAGATTACAAGTAATAACAACATAAAAAAAATAGAGAAATGAAAAGTTTACATTTATATATAAAGAGTAGTTGAAATCAGTCAGTGTTATGGTAATGAAAAAGGATGCCAAGTCAGCTTAAAGTTCATACAGAAGCAGAAACGCTGATTATCAAGTAGCACCTCATCACCTAGCCCGGTCCATCGAGATCATAAAATAACATTTAGAGTAATATAATACACAAACATGCGCAGTGTAAGTACACTATACTACTCATGTCTAATTTTAAGTATCATAAGAAAACAGTTTTGATAGCCCACCATTCACAACAATATTTATAGACAAGCGGCATTCATATACATTATATTTTGTAGGCATATTAGAAAAATATAAATAATCATAAATCGATATAAATCATTTCTCTTCACGTTACATATTTCCATTACTCGCCTCTGAAGTTCATCACTTACTTCATGTGTGATATCTCCAGATACCATCATGTAAACACCGGTTAATACCAACATCACCGTTATGTAAGACAGATCAGCAAGGAGAAACATTAAGTTTCTTTTCGCGTGCTAAAATAAAAAATAGAAGTGCAAATAATTATATAATAGAAAAATCTGTTCCACAAAGAAAACGATATTTTTAAAACAATATTTGAACTGATTTTCTTGAAACTTCTATGGGACCAATCTAAAAGTATATCCTTTTAGATAAAAAAAAAATCCACGTTGGTTTATAAATAACGGAGTTTTGAGGAAATAAACAAAAAATAAGAAGTATAAACAAGACCGTTCCTTATAGCTATCTATGGGGAGGCCTATGTCCAGCAGTGGACGGTTAATGACTGAAATAAAGATGATGATGATGAAACAAAATAATACAACCAAATTAAGAACCTTTTTCTTTTTTAAAATCAGTAAAAAAAACTTCTATTGCATGGATCAAATAAAAAAAATTCAAGTAATACTTACTACGAGTTTAACAAGACACATGACTATAAGGGACAGACTTTCGAATATTTGTATACTGTAAATCGCTCCCAGAGTACTCTGTACCGTCTTCGCGCAGCTAAAATAACAGTATACCATATTAATATCATTTTTTTATAAAATATCTAACTCTTTCCGGCGGCTTTGCCTACATGAGTCAATGTGTATTATATAAATTAGGTAAACTTACCCGTTTATCCAATCACATTCAAATCTGTCCTGCAGTTTAAGCGTGATTGTATAAAATCTTACAAAACTATAACCGAGACAACCCCCCCTCCCCTCCTATGGGGGGTCGGTGTTCAGCAGAGGCAGTTAACAGCTGATATGATGATGATGTTTAGTTATGTAATTATGTAGGCGTATATCAGTGATACATATACATCCTTTTTTTCGCATTTTATTAAATACGAGTACAATACTCGCTATGTGCGCCACGGCGTAGAATATAGGCCATCCCTTCCTTTCGCGTGGGTGTCGTAAGAGGCGACTAAGGGAAGGCGAGGAATGGGCAACAGCGTCCCTCTTAAAACATCTCTAAAAGCCTAACTGCGGTTGCCAACCCGCCTGCCAAGCGTGGCAACTACTGGCAAAAACCCCCCTATGGGGAAGGCTAATGTTCAGCAGTGGACAGTTAATGGCTGAAATAATAATAATAAACAATACTCACTCTAAAGTATCTTCGTGTAAACCCATACCAACTATGAACGCTTCTTTAAATTCCTTTTCAATTTCTTTTCGTGACCTTTTATCAGGATTCGAGAAAATCTTGCCGAGTTCTTCAAAGTATACCTGCAGAGCCTTAAATTTGAAGCTCATGTAGACCAGAGCACAGTAGCAGAGACAATCCACTTGGATCATGATTGTAACAAAAAACCACCAATGCAGCTCAATGAAGAATCGGAAAATTTTTGCAGCAACCGTGTCTACTGATTTCGGGTAATATGTCACTTCTGTCCGGATTGGTAGACCTGGGAATGTAAAATAAGTTATTAAATGTTGTATACATATTTATTTATTTCCTCGTGTGGTCCCGGCATAAAATAGGCCACCCCTTCCTTTCCCCTGAATATCCTATGAGGCGACTAAGGGAGGACGAGGGATGAGCAGCAGCGTCCCTCTTAAAACAGCTCCAAAAGTCAAGCTGCGGTTGCCAATCGGCCTGCCAACCGTTAAAACTATTGGCAAACCCCTTCTTATGGGAGAGGCTGTGTTCATCAGTAGACAATTCATGGCTGGTATAACTTGGAACATCATAAGATTCCTGTCACTGATAGGAATTAGAAGCAAACTCTGATAAAAGGTGGACGAAATAGATTCACAAGTTTTTCATAGCCCAACTTTCAATAGCAATGATGTCTAGAAAGCCCAGGGACGTCGATGTCTAAGGGTGCGCTCCAGGTGCTAGGCATCAGTAGTAGTACTTTCGACTAAACTTCAGAATTGCGTCGCCAAAAGAAACCACCCATGTATGCTCATTCACTCGGCATCCCTGGTCTTCCTTTTTTGTAGTTAGTACGACGACAGCACTTGTCCTAGAGTAGACACCAGGTAAGTAAGCCAAAACCGGTCCTGACTACATTTCTGCCGACTTAATAAATCTTTCCATATGTTCTGCGTGACCCCGAATTCTATTCCAAATTTGCCCTCATAAATAGTTGCTGTTACAGGTAGTATGGCCGTGTGGTCCCAGCATAGAATGGGCCACCGTTTTTTTTTCTGTAGGTGTCGTTAGAGTTAACTAAGAAAACTTAATGATCGGAGGAAGGATAGCAGAGTCCTTCTTGAAACATCACCAAAGTTTAGTTAGGCAACTATGGTTGCCAATTCGCCAGCCGAATGTGGCAACTACTGGCAAACCCCCCTCCCCCCAAAGGTAAACTATTATAAGGAACGACCCCGTTTCTTATAACATTCTATGAGGAAGGCCTATGCTCTGCAGTGGACAAGTAACTGTTAATACAACACGAACTGATATGACATTTTTATATTTTACCTTCTTTATAGTATGCAATAACAGCTTCTAAATCCGTTAATATCAGAGTACTGTACGTGGTTATCATCAATGTACTACAATAAAAGACCGCTTTCTGCGTAGACGCCTTGTCGATATCCGACGACGAGAATATAGACCGTGTACCTTCCAATAATCTTTTTAACATATATTTAACTTGATCCCTTCGTATGAACAAAATTATAAATTTCAAACCAATAGATGGGTGTGCACAAGTGAATTGTATTAAATCATTTCTCTCTTTAATAGTCAAATTAGATCTCAAATGGCCAAGACATTCGTTCACTATAATGCCATACAAGTAAACGTTTGTTATAATTGCCCATAATACATAAATTGTTGTCTCGAACTTAGACCGATCTATCGATTCGTACCAATATTGCCCGCAACCCAAGTAATACAGGTTTTTACAAATAAATTTCATAAGACGTTTTTCCGGATGAGTCTTCTTTATGGATTCGTCCATTTTGTTCAAGCACATTTTACAATTTGAACAAGTAAAATTTTAGATAGTGAGGAAAACTCTGATTTATTAAAATTGGAGTTTGAAATTACTTTTACTTTTTGGGTCGACCACTGAAAACTTTTTGTCAGTCGTACTTACTGAATTACAATAATTTAAAGTTTGAAATTAAACTGTTAAGTAATGTAAGAAGGCTGCACATAATGGTGTATACGTGAAGTCTGTTTGTCTGTTTGTATAAAATTATGTTATTGCATGGATTACATCTCCATATGCATTTAAAATTTTTCATCATGCCTCCGATCAAACTGTTTATAATTACTCCACTCCATCTAAAGGTTGCCTGGTAGAGATCGCTTTTAGCAATAAAATCGCCCATTGTTTTCTCACTTTAATCATTTCTTGTAATTGTCTGTATTTATAATAAGTTTACTATTGTAAAAAAGAATATACTTCTACAAGAAATCTTTTATATTTTTCTTTTTTAGTTATACAGTTAAATAAATGCTACACTTGTTCATAGAAGTTCTGATTTAAGCATTTATTTCCAAGAAGTTCGTAACTTAAATAAATTAAACTAACGCTATAAAATGAACTTACAAAAGTACAAATTAAATTATCAGTGAAAGACGAAACTTCTATGACAATTTCTGAACTTAATTGGCGAAGTCTGATTACAAAAAAATCTATTATAATACATAATTGCTTAACCATCACATATTCGATGTGCATTTTTTAAAAAGTGTTGATAAATATTCTGTATACACTAGCGTGGCACCAGCGAAGGATGATTGGTGAGGATGAAAAGGCAGGTCAATTAGCCCATCGTGACGAGTTCAACGATAAATTTGTCATGATGGGTTCCAGGGGGAACCGCGTGGATGTGGACCTGATAAGGTATATTGCTAGCAATGAGACTGTTAAACTCCATTGCTAGCAACCTCTTTCTCCATCTCATAAACTAGGTACATATCACAAATATTTATTTAACATACAATTTTACAAGCAAAAGCTAACTTATAATGGAAAGAAAATTGAAACATATTATATTATACTAATATAAATATATTGGAAAGTACATTATAATATTTTTTTATTATACACGACGAGCGAGAAACGCAACATCTTTATAACAAAATGCGAACGCCTCAGAATAAGTAATCATTATGATGAGAACGCCTGATGATAATGTAGCCGCAAATTTGAATATCTGTTAATACATGCATAGGTAACTTGTTCATAAAGTATTCTACCTTTTTTATTGAAATTTAATACTACTTTTTCGAAATATGGATATTCGTAGATTAAAGGAACGTTATAAGATTGGGTATTTTCTTTGCGATTTTGATAAAAAAAAATAACATTCTATATGCGTAATCAAACGCCAGTAAGTCCAGTTTCAAAATTAGTTTAAAAAAATTCTTAATTAAGAGGCAAAAGTTTGATATTCCAGCAAGTTACCTCTGTGTTCCATTTGTCTGCTAGGTAGACTGCCATATCTGTCTGTTTACTGTATATTTGTCTGTTTACTGTATAGATAATCTGGTAGTATTATTTTATTGTTACCCTATTCCCTTTGGCCGCAACAGAATATCAGTGCTTTGCTCTTTTGAGGGCGAAGCAATAAACTGAGTTGTGACGATTTTATATACACACGCACAAAAGAAAAATTGTATTTGGCTTTATATATATTTTAAATCATTATGTTATCTCGCTTTTTATGTATATCTATATATGTTATAATTTGTGTGCTGTAAGTAATGCAAATAAATTATTATCTATTACCTTCATATTTTCTCTACTCTTTTTTTCATGTTTCAGTAAAATTTAATCTCCTTTAAAACAGCTCTTTCCACGAGTTGAGCCGTCCAGACTCGGGGTAGATAATATAAGGTAATATCTATATATTTTAGTTACTATTTCCTTTAATTAGTATATATTTATAAAAAGAACGCACAAAATTGTTGGAGAACGCCATCGAGTAACGGAATAATTATCCTTAGAATACAAGTAAAATGCCAAACAACAATTGAAGGAGTAATGCAAACTTACCTAACCTAACTTTTTGTCTCTTATTTTCTTTATAAAGGAAAAAAAAATCTCTTTCAAATAGAAGACAATAAAAAAATATTTTAACATTTCACATTTAAGCCAATAAGATAGATAGATAGATAGATCGTTTATTTGTTTGTTACTAATCACACACAACATGTACATAAGAATAGATAATACATAAAACAACATGAGATTTATAAAATTGTGTTATTATGTGTGATCTGCAGCAATACAAAAAGGTCGAAGCTCAGCGTGTAACATTGTTCAAGGAACAAAACACTGATTTTCAGCTTTAACCCATTTGAGGGTACGTGAAAATAATAATTAAAATAAATATAAAATAAAAAGAGCAATATTTTTGGTGATTGTCTGTGCAGTGTGTGTATAATAAAAATAATGTAAATAGTTCAGAGTATAATTTGATATAATTTTAACTGAGTGGTAAGGATAAAGCGAAAAAAAAAAAAAAGAAAATATTAATAAGAGAAACATGGAAAAAAATATTAAAAATCATTACATGAGTTTGCAACCGCTAGCCAAGAAATTTCTGTGGAATGCCTAAAATTTGTTTTTTTAATAAGTATTCTTTGTGATGTTTTTTAAAACTTTGTACGGTAGTCAGATGCCTAAATTACAGCATTCTAAAATCGATAACAATATTCATTAAAAAATTCCGATAAGTAAAATTAAAAAATAGATTACATTAATTTATTATAAATGACGTATATTGATATAGCTGTAAGTTTTATATATAAAGAACACCTAAGTAACATTTTTGAATTTATTACTTACTACTACCGCAAATAAAAAAAAAAAAACAAAGTTGTACTATCTTTCGGTTGTATACAATACATATATACATATATACAAGTACGACATTAAAACATAAACATAGGTATTATGAGTAATATTTATTTTCTTATCTAATACAAAATTCGCAAATGAATGCGAACGTTATGCATTATATTACAAAATTCAAATCGGATTAGCGATTTTGAAGATTATTGTAAACGAAAACCGTGACATGAGAGTTTTTTTTAAATAATGTTTATCCTTATATGAAAATGGAATATATTTAAATAGTTAAAGTTAAAAAATTTCTTCTAGATCACTGCCAGCTGGTAGGATACCTAGGAAACTTACTGCATTTCCACGCTGAATAGCTGTGGAAATGCGTTGATCTGACTCAGAGTTTCAACTCCAAACGCCGCAAATATATATCCATTTCCAAGGGATAAATATTTGCGGCGCTTAACAGTCTCCTGGTGTGTTGCGGCGGCACCAGCCCTCTTGGGTGTACTTGGAAGGTGAGACGGATAAATAATTGTATATCATCATCATCATATCAGCCGTTAACTGCCCACTGTTGAACATAGGCCTCCCCCATAAAGGCGGGATTTGCCAGTAGTCGTCATGGCTGGTGATGTTATGTTTTAAGAGGGACGCAGATGCTCACTTCTCTACCATTAGGTTCTCTTAGTCGCCGCTCACGACACCCACGGGAAAGGAATGGCCAGCCCATTCTATGCCGGGACAAATTACAATTGTATATTACAGGATGAAGTCAAAATCATTAGCATTCTTCAATATTTACACCAAATAAATATGGGTTTAAAAAACGTCATTAAAACTTTGAGTCTTCTGTCGACCTAATGTTACGTTAGTATGTTATGTAGGCTCTACATTATTTATCGTTCACGAAAGTTCTGTCTTAATGTAATTTCATATCATTGGGTAAAATTATATGTTAAAGGCCTTAAGTGTAAATACATTATTGTTTATTTATTAACTGGCATACTGTGTTTCCCTTATAATGATTGTACACTATGTATAAATAGACAGTAATTTTAATATTAAATGACACCAGTGTAACAATTACTGGTAGGCCAAATGAAAATAAAATAACAAATAAAACGGATTCCTATTTTTATATATGGCTAATAAATTTGATTTCACGTATATACGTAAATTTTACATTGCTATATTTAGTTCTGTAATAGCCTAATCAATCGATCCCACTACTGATAAGTATAAAGTTTTTTTTTTATGAATCTTGATTTAAATAAAAGATGAGCGAGGATATAATATAATGATAAAAAATAACGATGTCATTCTAACTTGTTGTTTCCGTAAAATTGGCTCACTAATCTATATTTGTGGGGGGTAAGGGATTGTTAGTAATGGAGACTGAAAATCCCATTGCTAGTAATACACCTAACCGGGGGGAAACGGATTGCTAGTAATGGGGTCTATTAGCTCCATTACTAGCAATATACCCTCTCAGGTCGGCCTCCACGCGGTTCCCCCTGAAAACCATCATGTTTAATTCTTGTCGAATTCATCATAGTGGGCTAACTGACCTGCATTCATTCTCACCTATCATCTTCCACTGGTGCCTCGTCGGTGTATACCGATAGCACGGGCGGGGTTACCATTCCATTTTCACCCATTAAAAAAATATATATCCAACCAGGTCGACTTCCTCGTTGTTCTCCCTGGAAATTATCATAGTTAATTCCTGATGACTTCATCATTATGGGCTAACTGGCCTGTTTTCATTCTTATCTATCACCCTTCACTGGTGGAGCACCAGCGTATCCCGTTAGTGCAGGCGGTGTTACCATACAATTTTCACCCATTAAAAAAAATCTATATTTGTAAATCACCGTGTCTTGGTAATCTCTTATGGACTCCCGCGATACAGGCTCGCCTAGTGCGGGCTCCAATGTACTCACATTGTAAATTTCTTGTGTTTAATAAATAAATAAATGCGCCCGAGTTACCTCCTTTCAGTTATAATATAGCGGGGGAAAGGGATTGTTAGTTATGGGGTTTAATTACCCCATTGCTAGCAATATACTCTAAAAGGTCGACCTCCACGTGGTTTCCCCTGGAAACCATCGTGGTTAATTTTAGTGGAATTGTCACGATGGGCTAACTGACCTACCTTTCATCCTCACCAGTCATCCCTCACTGGTGCCCCGCCAGTGTATACTGATAGCGCGGGCAGGATTACCATTTCATTATCAACCATTAAAAAAAAAAAGTAATATAGCGTTGTCAGTAGATAAACAAATCCATAGATAGACAAAGATAACCAGATATCAATTCCTTATACATATCTAATTTTAATACATACCGGTACAGCGACAGCAAAACAATGCAAATACCTTGATATTACAAGTTTCAGAAAGATACTAATGACAAATATATGTTAATTATTTTATAAAGTAATTAAATTACTCCGTTATCGTCATTTCATTCTGTAGTCATCGTAATAATCCGATAAACCATAGATTAAATTCTAGGAATATTTTTTTCCACGCAAAACCAATAAGTGTATTTTGTTTCACAAAAAAAAAAGAAATATCGATGAAGGGTGAACGAGTACCGGTGCCAGGTTACGTGTATCTTTTACAATTTTACATAAAAACAAGTGCGGTTGCCAATCTGCTTGCCAAACATGGCAACTACAGGCAAAACTCCCCTTATGGGGAAGGCTTATGT